TCCGTTTTATACAAGGACGGCTTAGGCGAGTCCTGTAGTGATATGTATTTTCAATCAAGATGGCTCACTAATGCTGTTGTTTGGGAGGTGAAGGGGGAAAAAAAATCTTCATTTTCAATGCAAAGGTGAGTGCTACTAAGCTAACTATCAAACATTGATTGTTAGTTGTTAGTCTACGATTACCAGCCAGCCGTTCAATGGTTGCGGTAGCAAAAAAATCCACAATTGCCTCCTCTTTTTTTTTTTTTTTTTTTCTGGACGGGAATCTGTACAAGCACAACCCAGTAGTGATGGCCAAACGAGGCTTCATGAAGCTTTGAACCCTTTTGGACCATTGTATTGAAAATTGGTTCACTACTCGAAGCTTCATTCATTGAGCACGTGGGTGACATCTGCTGGCACAGTGATTGTTGCACCGCCTTGCAAAGGACGCTGACGAACGTTGCGTGTGCACTTTGAGTTTTGTTGTCTTGTGAAAAATACTTAAATAAAGCTTAATTCTAGCTTCATTTTACATGTGTCTGATGTTTTTCTTCCTTACCTTAAGAATTCATGCAATATTAGCCTATATTATGTTTTATTATATTATAATAACATTAATTGCATTCACAGCCCCATTGAATCCTGTAAATATTTACTGTCCAAAAAACATGTTACAGGGCTGCCAACTCTCACGTGAGAGTCTCACGCCTCTTAGAGGCATTCGTTCCCATGTTAGTCAGCAATTATTCAATTGAGACGCGGAATTGAGTCCTTGAGCATGGAAGTTAACCATGCAGTTTCCACGTGCATAAGGACTGGAAAGCAATTATGACTCTGGAATTCTCACGTTTGTCTTTACACAGGGGTTGGAAGCAATGGAATTGCATAAAGATGTTTCAAATGGTCTTATTTCGTTTAAACAATTTAAACGAATAATTGCTTCCAACCCCTGACTGAGGAAAAGCGCACAACGTTTGGTCCATGAATACGCAAGCGGACCTAACACTTCCAAATAAGGACTGTAATTACGCGTAAAACTTCGATTGAATAATTGCTGACTAGCGTGAATACGCTTCAAAAGTGAAGTTTGCAGCCCGAGAAAGTTTGATGATGTTATATTTTATTAGCCTATGTTTTTTTTTATTATTATTGTGCTTGGTGTATACTGGGTGTGCTTGAGCAACTTTGGCATTATTATTTGTGAATAAAAATGTCTAACAGAGCGCTGTTTCATCCATCTTAAATACATTTGAATCGCGCCAATGTCTCAAAGCTCCGCCTATCGAACCAAACCGGTCAGCTGATTCAGTCGAATGAAGCAGTGAAGTGGTTCGAACGTCATCAGTCACGTGGTTTTTCCCGATATGAGGCAAGCTTCGGCACAGTGCTTCAGAAAAATACCCTGTCGAGTTTGAAGCGTGGTTCGGAGCCTCGATATCACCGGTAACATCACTACAACCCAGGCTTTCCTCCTCATCAGTTACTGCATCCTACTGAACAAAAAATAACTGGTATTTTGGCTAGGCAGTTTGGTTAAAATGACTGGAGGGAAGCGGAGGAATCGCTCTTTTGTCTCCCGGTGGGTATTTCCATTAAACTGTGACGTCATGTGAAAACTATGAATAGGGGAAGCTCAAAACCATCCCTTTAAAATAATGATTGGACATGACCTGTTTTTAATCATTTAATAAAATGTTATTTACATGAACTCCAAAAATCCTAAGGATTATCATGTGTCGCCAGTTCTACTTGTTAAGTTAGAATGAACACTGATAATTAGGCTATTGCCCTGTTTTCAATTCGTTTAAATTACCATTGCAGAAACTCCGAAAACTCTCAACATTATCAGGCGTGGCCAGTTTTCATTAATAACGCATATCTGTCAACTCTCACGCATTCGGATTTCTCGCGCTTTTCTTTACTCGTGGCTCGGAAAATTCTGCGCTGAACTGGCTCGTGGGGCGCGCGTGGATTGGTCTGCGAGGCTCAGGTGGCTGTAAGTCACGAGAATCCATTCTTTTCTACATTCTTAATCGCTGAATGTAGAAGGAATGTCCGGCACGTTTCACAGCTTGTTGCTTAGTGAGCCTCGTGGGCTGTCCTGCGCCTTTCGCGAGCCACTCGACCACAGAATTTATGAAGACATGCTGATATTTTACGTCGTCATTTATGAGCGAAAGAAACGCCTCAATTTTGTGAAGCAATGTATAACAACGCTATCAAAAATAAATTTGTCGTTTTACCAATTAGTCTGAGAAACTTTCTAATCAAGAAAAGTAAACTGCGACAGGTTTAGGTCATTCAGCACTGCGGGGTGAGGATTGAGCGTCCCTTTGCAGCAGCCGACGCACCGCCTGTGGTACCCAGTGCCCACTACTGTCAGTTTTGCTCGAGTGACGTTTGTGAATAGCAACAGGCGAGGAGTGGGACCGCTCTCTCGGTTAGTGGTAGGTCGATCTCTCTCTCACACTCCAGTTACATTTCAATCGTACTCACTATATGGTGAGTGGAGGGTGAGTGTGAGTGTCGTTTCTGAATACGGGCCTCAGCCTCACTAAGACATCCCTTTTATAGCCAATCATGTTACACACCTGATGCAGGTTAAAGGGATGGTTCACTTTTTTGAAGTGGGGTTGTGTGAGCTACAAATTGCCACTATTTACATTAGATGCAGTAGAAAGCTCTCTGATCTCCTCCAGGTAGCCGCACCAGGGCATAGTGCTGGGTGGAAATTTAGGCGATACACAGTTGTGAATGGAAACACAGAAACAGCGTATTTTCGCGGCCTAAAAGAGGTCCTACCTGAAAATAATACACCATTTCAATTGTACGCTATATTTAAAAAAAATTACAGCACTTTAGCTGCTCGGAAAAAAACACAGTTGCTCTTGAACTAACCAACTGATGTATTCCTCTGCGAGGCGCGTCGTAGTTCACTGTGCGCTGTAGCGATCAGCTGTTTGGGTCAGACTCTGAGCGGTTCCCGGCAGAGACAGTATTTCAATGGCATAGAATCACGTCTCAAATTAAAAAAAAAAAAAATCCCTATAATAACCAACACAACAGATACACAGTATGTGGCTGCGTAGACCCTATGCGATATCAATTTGTGCTGCAATGTTACATTAGACTTTTTCACAGGTGTTTCCCTCTTCGCAGTGTCTAGAGGCACGGCAGTTTTTATTGGTACGGCAGTCGATTTCAGGGGATTAGGATAAGGATTCGGGATTATGGTTAGGGGTTAGGGTTAGGGCAGGGCTTGAAATGGGGACTGCCGTACCTCTCCACATTGAAATGCGGTGAAAAACTGCCGTACCCGTTGCAACTGCCTTCACTCTCTTACCTGATGCATGAGAACAGCAGTGCTCTTCAGCGTGCACCGTTGAGATTTCCCTGAATGTAGCCTAACGAAATCCTCTTTGGAAAAATGAATACTGCAAACACGGAGTTCTTTTAGGGATACGGGTGGCGTATCAATATCCGTGTTGAGGCAACCAGCCACAGCTGCAAGTCCAATATTCTGCAGAGGAATGCAGTGGAAGCTGTAAGTGCACCAGGATACAGCTTTGCTTTCACATCTTAGAAAGCGACACACACGGACCATTTTCGAAATATTTGCACAAGTTAAACGGCCGTCTGACCTCGCAACCACAGTTAAGCCGCTTGCACACTGGACGCGAAATGAATTTTTCGCACACAGATTACATTCAAACAAAGTCAATGCGAAGACGTGAATACACGCGTTTGTGCAAGCAGCTTTACTGTGACTCAAACAGCTGATCGCTACCGCGCGCAGTGAACTACGATGCGCCTCGCAGAGGAATACATCAGTTGGTTAGTTCAAGAGCAACAATGTTTTTTCCGAGCAGCTAAAGTGCTGTAATTTTTTTAAATATAGCGTACAATTGAAATGGTGTATTATTTTCAGGTAGGACCTCTTTTAGGCCGCGAAAATACGCTGTTTCTGTGTTTCCATTCACAACAATATATCGCCTAAATTTCCACCCAGCACTATGCCCTGGTGTGGCTACCTGGAGGAGATCAGAGAGCTTTCTACTGCATCTAATGTAAGCAGTGGCAGTTTGTAGCTCATACGACCCCACTTCAAAAAAAGTGAACCATCCCTTTAATGTAATTACTTGCTAAAAGTTATTTCAGCTGATTCTCTTCTATATTAATTGCTTTTTCAGCCCTTTTTTGCCTGTGTCCCAACTTTTTTGAGACCTGTTGCAGCCAGAAAATTTGAAATGAGCTAATTTTGTGGATAAAAATGTAAAATGTCTCAGTTTCAACATTTGAAATGTTATCTATGTTCTATTGTAAATAACATATTGGCTCATGTGATCTGAAAGTCATTGCATTTTGATTTTATTCACACTTTAACCCTTAAATACCCAACTATTGTAAATGTTGAAAGAAAAATCTATGTATTTTGTTAATATGTCCTGGGGAGGGGCTAATAACAACCCACTAACAATTTTTAATTTTTGGTGACCTTTGACCTCATTTTTAGTTTTGTGACATATATGTCGCTCTAAGTTTCTAGGATATAAAGAGAACTTTTGTCCATCATTGTTTTGGTAGTTGACATATAGCTGAAGTATTAGGCATAGCTTATTTTTCATTAGCTTACCTGTTTGTCTGCTTTATCCAGTGATGAATGGGTGCTGATCTATCGTGTGGATTCCACCATGGGGGCGGCCATATTGGAAAGGTTAGCTGGTGTAGCCAGTGTTGTGTCAGTTCCACTTTTATGCATCAGATGGCAGCACTGATAGTCTAAATATGTCACTATGGGCATTAGGTTGCAAAATTTATGTGGGGTCAGTGGCTTTGACAACCCCCAAAATCGTGTGACAAATTTGTCACAGGGGGTTAAACTTCGTCCCAACTATATTTCGGAATGGAGGTTGTATAATGGTTGAGGAATTGACAGGTACGAGAGCAGTATTATGAAGATAAAACTGTTTCAATCAGCTTCCAATAGTTTTATGTGTAGTATCGCTGTATTTATAGGAGACGCGGTAGCGCAGTGGTCACGTTGGCTTGTCTTGAGATCGTGAGGTCCTGAGTTCAAGCCCCGGCCACGGCCTTCGTGGTGTGTTCTTGGGCAAAACACTTCACTCCCACACTCCATGCCTCACTCCACCCAGGTGTATAAATGGGTACCAGCAAATAGGCAGGGAAACTTGTCTAAGACCTGGGGGAGTACCTGCGATGGACTGGCATCCCATGCAGGGGGAGTAGGAATACTCCTACTCGCTTCATGCCACAGAAACAGGGGTTAAGCACTGACCCGATGGGCCATTAGCCTCGAACAGGCTTACTTCTATAGGATGTAATGGGTGTGAAAGTTAGGTGCTCATTCCATGTCACATTTTCAGGCCAAATTTACAGGTGCACCTTCAGTTTGATATTGCAAAAATAAAGTTTGATGGCAGTCATTCAGCTTGATACTGTCCCTGATATATATATTTTGGTGAATTAAAAACACTTTGAGCAAATCTTAGCGCATTGCACTGGGGGTATTTTAACCCAAATGTACCATGTCCAGATTGTACCCCAATGGTGTGGACAGGCCCATTTATGAATTATGAGCATTTATAGTGATTTTCTTGTGTACTGCCTCCATATAACTAATGATGCCATCTTTCGCATGACATACGTGCCAAATTTCCTGTTATTTGGACTGACCATTTTCACAATATAACATCACTTCCATTACAGTGACAGCGATTCAAATTTTAAAAACCTTTGAACAGCTTTCGATGATCAGCGTTCATATAATTCACCTATAAAGTTCCATTGAGATTGGTGAACCGCCAAGGAGGTTTTTTAAAAAAAGGCAAAAACACTGAAAATCTATCGTCTTTCACCAGTCTATTGAGCATGAGCTACTGCATCATATGGCGGGAGCCCCTGAAAGTTACAACTTTCTCCCAGTAGTGGCCCTACAAGCAGGGATCTACGGACACCAAAATGTCTGTGCAATAGTTTGGGATTGCCCTCTGTCAGCCTGCCAAGATTAATAAAAAGCGAGCCAGCGGAAGTAGACGAGCCCTGCAAAATTGGTGGAATAAGATACCTGTTGTAAGATTTCCACCTTGTATAGAAACAAAGAAAGAAATCATTGGGCTGAAGAAATTCTATTTCACATGAGGGATGTCAAAGTTGGATAAACCTTTTCCTTAAAAGAATTAAATAATCATTCCCATTTTGTATTTTGCTTCCTGATGGTTTTTTTTTTGTCTTATATTACGTTTTGTAAAAATACAAAAAGAGAGGAAAAAAGGCAGTTATTTTTCACAGCACTGTACTTAAGTTGGAATCATGAATTTGAAAGTGCACTTATCTGAACTTTCTTGTACTTTCAGAACGATCACCAAATCAAAAAACTTAGTCATCATTCACAAAGATGCTTTCTGGAATCTGCCAAGATTGAAATACCTGTAAGTTGTGTTTTGTTCGGTTGTGTTTATAAGAATATTTATTCAATGTTCAGAGTTCAGTAACTGCAGCTTGTTCCAGCTACTGTTTAATGCTGCAGTAATCTTGAAGGAATATTTCAGTATGACTTTAACCACACAAACATAATCATAATGCAAGGTCACACGGCCATCCAGGTAAAAAGGTCTTTGTCATCTTCATGCTTCATGAGCACCAATACATACGTTATACATATGGGAATGTGGTGGCTGTACATTGGCCAATTAGAATATTTTAGCGGTGTGCATTAATTCAACGCTTGAATTGAGTGTCCCTGTTTTCTGTCCCATGGATGTGTCCTTCACATCTGCACCAATTCTCCATTGAGCCTTTCATGAATGTAGACAGAGCAGCACGCAAAAATATACGCATCTCTATTGCCTGTCATAACTGTTCTTTTTTTTTTTTTTTTTTTTTTTTTTTTTTAATAAATTTGGCATCTCCAATCCCACCCGAATCTGGAATGCCCAATTGGTGAACTATGCACAAGGCTTGCTCGTATGCGACCCCCTGTTGCCAATTCAGGGGAGTGTAGACAGTTCGCGGCTCTCCTCCGAAGCACGTGCCCGTCAACTACTGCTTCTTCACACTCATTGGTTGAATCCTCACAAGTTCAGAGCGAGGGCGGAGGATACCCGGACATGAACAGGCTTAGAATCTTCCTGAGCCCGTCTGGCCAACAGGAGGCGCATGAGCAACGAAAAAAGCAACTATTTTATATTTCCCTTCCTGGCAGACCCTTCCCAATTCGCATCCCTGTAGCGCAATGGCTAATTCTGCGCTACTTCTGAAAAAGCTGCCTACCACTGCCGGGTGGTACGACCGGAGCTCGAACCCCCGCCGTGATTGTCACTTCTGCTCCGCAATGCGGTGCTTTAACCGAGTGAGCTATCCGGTAGCATAACTGTTCTTTATACAATGGTACGCAGTGAAATTTCTTGGATACAGTGAGAGATGTCTGACCTATGCAAGGCTGTCCTGGTGTCTCTAAAATTTGGATCTTCGGAATGTTCTCAAAGGAAAATGTGTGTGGGCCAGGTCACACAGTAACGGAGTTACAAAATTGGTGTATTTTGTATCATAGCTCCAAAACTAAGTGAGATAGAGTTACATGTCAATGGCTTTGTGTGGGTCTTCCCTAATACTTCAAACAACAAAATAGCTAATTTTGTTAATTTGATTTATTTTGGGTGAAAACGGCAAAACAACTGGTCAGAAACGGTTCTCAGACCACAAGGAATGTAACTTTATAATCTCTTGCAGAGAACCTGGATATTCTGGCTAGAGTGAACATTTCTGTGAATACATATACATACATGCCTATTTGTTTGCATGAGTGTATATTTGTGTGTGTTTGTGTGTACATGTCCATTCCTGTGCTGGTTCATATTTCTGGCAATTTTCAGGACCATTTCGAACACTGGACTGAAGTCACTGCCCAGTTTCTCCAAAATCAACTCAGCAGCGAAGGACTTTCTTGTGTATGTTCTTATCTGATTTCCCATGATAGTGGAAAAGTGCATGACTTGCAGTAAAATTTGCTGTTCTAGAAAATAGAGGCACTTTGTGTGGACTTTTGCATTGCATGTACGCATGCATCTTCTATATACAGGCATATTCCTTCATGACTTTGCGCCTTTAATTCTTACAAGGGAGAGCATAGCTTTACACTGAAACGTAAGTCATTAAAAAAATATTTATGTCTGGGAACTGTAACAATGGGTTCTTCTCATGAGTGTTCCCTTACGAACAGGCTGGGGATTTGGCACCAGACTCAGACAGGGCTGCAAAAACTCATAGGGGTTTTGTCGTGCCCCAGTGCGGCCATCGCTGAATAGAGTCATGGGATTTTGTCAGTGAAACTAAGCCCACGCAGAAATCTGATATGGCCATTTACAATATGACCATATAAAATGATGGTCTACATACTATGTTTACATTTACCGCATATGTAGATGCATGTATTTTGCAGGCATTTTGCAATATTAAATGTATGTGATTTGAATTCTTCAATATACGTGGACACATACTATATAACATATTCTGTATGTAATTTACATGTACAGGCATGTATAAGATTTCTGCTGGGATGGTTCATTCCATTTGCTTATTTTCACTCGTTGCATCGCTTCCTCGTGTCGTTTCCTCTAACCATGAGACAAAGTTCATAGGAAGAGGTTCAAAGAGTGATATACACCGACAGCGTAAATAAGGAAATGAGGTAACATGAACATTATAATAACCTCACAGATAGAAAACACTGCTTGAGTATTCTTGGCACTAAACATTGATGAGACAAAGAGTGATGAAATATTTGATAATGATGAACCCACAGTGAAAAGCTGGCTTTCCCTCACTATATAGGCCGAACCACTGCAGGTGGACACAGAGAATTGACAAATCAAAAAATACTCAGAAAATAAACTGTGTTCTGAAACATACTCTCTCTTGTACTTTTGTTTTTGTTTACCTCAGTGATCTTCAGGATAACATGAACATGAAAGTGATTCCTCCTAATGCTTTCCTGGGTCTGAGTAGTGATACCATCGGGGAAATGTGAGTCTGGCACTTGGATCTATGAGAAATTTTCATCAATTTCACTGTAAAGGACTGACTTATCCTTTACTGAACATCACATGTCTGCCATACTGACATGCTCAGAAAGATAGCTACAAAAATCTGACAAAGCCCAATTCCTATGAAGTTGGGACGTTGTGTAAAACGTATATAAAAACAGAATACAATGATTTGCAAATCATTTTCGACCTATATTCAATTGAGTACACTACAAAGACAAGATACAGTGCCATGCAAAACTATTTGCCCCCTTCCTGATTTCTTTTTTTTTTTTTGCATAATTTTTACACTTAAATGTTTCAGATCATCAAACAAATTTAATATTGGACAAAGATAACCCAAGTAAAAGCAAAATGCAGTTTTTAAATGATGATTTCACTTATTGAGGGAAAAAAGCTATCCAAACCGACCCGGCCCTATGTGAAAAAGTAATTCCCCCCCCTTGTTAAATCATGTATTAACTGTGATTAATCATATTTTTTAGTTCAATTTCACTAGCCACACCCAGGCCTGATTACTGCCAGACCTGTTGAATCAAGAAATCACTTAAACAGAACCTGTCTGACAAAGTGAAGAAGGGTAAAGGATCTCAAAAAGCAACACATCATGTTGCAATCTAAAGAAATTCAAGAACAGATGAGAAACAATTTCATTGACATCTTTCGGTCTGGAAAGGGTTAAAAAGCCATTTCTAAGGCTTTGGGACTCCAGTGAACCACGGTGAGAGCCATTATCCACAAATGGAGAAAACATAGATCAGTGGTGAACCTTCCCAAGAGTGGCCGGCCTACCAAAATTACTCCAAGAGCGCATCAACGACTCATCCAGGGGGTCACAAAAGAACCCAGAACAACATCTAAAGAACTGCAGGCCTCACTTGCCTCAGTTAAAGTCTGTGTTCATGATTCAACAATAAGATAGAGACTGGGAAAAAAATGGCATCCATGGGAGAGTTCCAAGGCGAAAACCACTGCTGACCAAAAAGAACACAAAGGCTCGTCTCACATTTGCCAAAAAATCTTGATGATC